TAATGACAATCGTAACAAGAGTAAGCAAAGGAGATGTCAATGGGAGAAAATAATTGGATAGGTGCAAGATACTTGTCTGGGATTTAACTCTAGTTGATTCACTTAATAGGGTTCAAGTGAGTCTCTCGAATTCACTCAATTATTAGTTCAAACATTCAGTGGAAATTCCTCTCTCGAGTAAGTCTCAACCTCACAAGATGAACTAAGTTAAGCTCGGTGAAGATATGCAAGAATTCGTAGTAGATTGGTCTTTAGGAGAACCTCTTTCAATTATCCTTCTAATTAGGTCTAAACAATAATTCAACAAGCCTCTTTCGATTACTATGAAGAATCAATGAATTCTACCTACAAGATGATGCAAAAACAACACAAGTTATGCCTCTTTCGATTACATGAACATGTGAAAATAGATGCATCAATTAAAATACCCAAAACGATCCAATACATAAAAACAACTAGAGTTAATATCCACAAACAATTCTCAATACACCAAATCCATTAATACCTAAAGAGATCTACTCTATAGATATGGAGTAATTCATCACAAATAAATTTAAGTTAAAGGAAAGCATAAATGATCCAAACTCTTGTCTTGAGTGAGGATTGAATGATGAAATCCTTGTGCTCTTGCTTCTCCCACTTCTCCTTAGAATCCTTAGGTCTTAGATGTGTCAAAAACAAGTCCAGAAAATAATGTTTCTCCATGTATATATACCAAGTAGGGTCGGGCCCAAACGAATACACCTTCTCCTACACGAAATAGGACTCTTCCCGGAATAGGACGTGCGCGGCCGCGCACCCGGGAGTGTGCTCGCGCATATGGCCATGCACTTTGGAAGGTGTTCTGCCTCACTTACGCTCCCAGTGCGCCCGCGCACCTGGGTGGCGTCCTGCTCGATTCTTCGTTTCTCTCATTTAATGCGCAATTGTCTGTTGATCCCCGAACTCGATGCCAACTTAATCCTTGAGATTTTACTCAGATTTCTAAGCTTCAGAATAGCTCGGGATCACTCCTACAAGGCATAAAACACACAATTAGTGCAAAACACTAGCGATTAACGCTCAAACTCAATTAAAGTACAGTAAATTAGCGTGTGATAAGCGACTAAAATATGAAATTATATCCTATCATCAACACCCCACACTTAAACCATTGCTCATCCTCGAGCATTCAAACTACACTTTATAATGACACGAACGTTTTTAAATAACTCACATAACTCATTACACCAAGAATATTTAAAATCGATTAAGCATAATAGTGTAACATCCTAGCCTCGGGATTTGACTCAAAAGCACCATGCATTATTTATAACCCGCTCACTTACTCCAGCATAGATGTCAAACATTACCTTTCCTTCATGAATCATGTGCCCTCACAACAAAAGAGAGTAGTCCCACACACCCACACACAATAAACATTAAGAACAACTAGGAACTCAAGATAGATAGAATTCACTCACTCTCAGAAATAACATTCATATGACACAAACAATGAACCATATGCTTGCCCGTAGTGTACAACTCTACTAATTGAGCTCATTCAGTCAAGGATCAAGTAGGACTTTAATTGGTTGTGATGTAAGATGCGGGACGGGTAGGATACATTAAGATATAAGGGTGACTACACCTCCCTAAGCACTTTAAAACATACATCTCATTGTTAAAACCCCACACTTATGTCAAACTAATACTCCACCTTCACATCAACTTACATTAACTCCCAACTTCTTTAAGCACAAATACATCAAGAGTTACCGCTTATCAATGAATAATTTTCACCATAATACACTATGTATATTTTTTTTTTCTTTTTCAATTTAAGTGGCTCTTACTTTTTTTAAAAAAAATAGTGTACCTTTCTCCTTATTTCATTAGCTCTACTAAAAAACCAACCAAATCACCCCACACTTCAGCTTTTACAAAGTTCATACAATTTCAAGTGCTCACGAGAGGTAAATGGTTCAAATAAATGGTTAATTCAAATAACTGAGTAAGGCTTGTAATGTGGTTACCAAAGAAACAGAATTACAGGATTAACGGGGTTCACTACGATACGTAACAATTTGGTGGGTAAACGCATATCATTGGCTCAACAAAGAAATGCCTATATCACTTTCAAGACTGAATAAAACTACTATTTCGCTTTGCAAACATACGGGGCAAGTTCTAGACATCAAATGTAATCCACAGAAAATACAAAACCTCACACACACATGGCACATAACTCACTCAAGATCGGATTATCAAGACACGCTAGTCAAAGCAGTTAAGCAAAGTTAAAATCATACAATTTAAAGCACTTATACAAGAGTCAAAAACTAAGCATAAGCATCACAACTAAAGCACTTACTATTCTCAAGGCATAATAAAGTCAAGAGATATTGCTTTCATTTCAAACTATTGCAAAAGGGTTCTTACTTCTAAAAATAAAACTAACTACACCGGGTTCAAACAAAACCCTTGAAAAAGAACCGCGGCATAAAGAAAAACTAAGGGGGATTAATACACTACCTAACAAAATAAAATCTTTTTGACTTTTTCTATCGACTTTAATCCCTCAAGAAACCTGTCGAATGATATCTATCGTCTGAAAAAATTGAAAATTTTAAATTTTTTATGGTTTTCCAAAAAAATTTCTATTAAACTACTACAACTAAACAAAAGAAACTAACCAAATTAATATATATACAACATACATACAAATACATCCCCATCACACACTTTAAGTTATGGCATATCCCCATGACACACAATTAAAAATCATAAGGTAGAGGAACTTCCCTGAATCTCCAGTCGAGGTCTGAGTCAAAGTCAGGCTCCATTCTTCGTTCCCGAACTACTACACACATCTACGCGGACAGATTCTTCTCAACCTTCTTAAAGTACACCCCACACTTTTCTTTCTCAATCACTAGGACCTTCTCTTTTGAGCTTTTCACACTCCACTCTACACTTGCAGCTGGCTTCTCCTTTCTCACCCCATCTCCACATTCATCTCGAAAGTCATCGTCTCCTTACCCACTCTAAGCATGAGCTTTCTATAATGTATGTCTAATAATTATCTGCCCGTCGCTAAGAATGGTCTTCCTAAGATAATGGGGACCTTTTTGTTCTCCTCCATCTTTGCCACAATGAAATCTAACAGGAAATACAAACTTATCTACCCGAACTAAGACATCTTCAACTATCCCCTCAGGTATCAAAGTTGTTTGGTCGGCCAGTTGCAAGGATATTGGTGCAGACCTTATCTTTCCAATCTCATTCTCTAGCTCCCTATAAATAGACAAAGGAATTAAATTAATTCAGGCACCAGAATCATATAAAGATTTATCAAAATTAAGGGTGCCTAACGAGCAAGGTATAGTAAAACTTTCTGGATCTCCACACTTTTATGGAAGTTTTTTTTTTTGCAAGATTGCGCTGTAATGCTCTGTGAGCTTGACCACTGAGGTCTCTTCTATCTTCCTCTTCTTTGTAAGGATCTCCTTCAAGAATTTGGCATAAGATGGAATTTGTTAGAACACTCCTGTGAATGGCAAGTTTACATTAACCTGCCTCAGCATCTCTAAAAATCTCTCAAACTGCTTGTCCAGCTTTTTTCTATACAACTTTTGGGGAAAGGGTAGAGCAGGCATATGCTCGCTCTCATTAGATCCCTTTTTGAAGTTTCCTCCTTCTTCTTTTTCTCAACTCCTTTCTTACCTTTCTTCTTCTTATCAACTTCATTTTTCAGCTGCTCCTCAACTTCATTTTTAGGTACACTCTCTTATTAGACAGGGGAGGGATCTTTCAACACTTGCCCACTTCTCAAGGTCACATCATTCACCGTTTTTTTTTTGGATTTCTCTTAGTGTCAGCTGGTAGAGTACCTGGGATTCTCTCAGACAATACAATTGCAATTTGTCCCACTTGCTTCTCCAAGTTTCGCAAACCATTGGCAAGTTCTTTGATAGCTGAACCATGAGCATCTAATCTCTCATATGTCTTGACAATTAAGGACTTCATTAGATCTTCTAGCCTAAGCTGAGTGGAATGTTGAGGCTGGAACTACGGCCTCGGCTGATTCGCAAAACCAGGAGCTCTTTATCCTTGAAATATGGGATTGTTTTGTTGCCATGCGTTTGCAGTACCCCCAGGTGAAGTTCATGAAAAACCAGGGTACTCCTGACCCATTGCATTGAAGTTATAATTCCCGACAGTATTAACTTCCTCGACTGAGGCTTGACACTCATGAGTAGGGTGCCCTCTTCCACATATATCACACGCTCTATGGGGCTCACTATGTATCGAGGCTAAGGTCAGCTTCCGTATTTCCTTGGCCATGGCATCAAGTTGTACCTGCACGATGTGTTAGCATCAACTTGGTGAATACCAGTTGATCTTCTTCTTTCAGCAATTTCAGAGGGCCATTGATTTGCATCCTCAGATAACTCATCTAGAATTATGACTATATCCTCTGGAGCACTACTAGAAATTACGCTTATGACAATACTTCCACAACTGTGGCAATAGATACACTAACCATCCCTATAGGGCTATTGGGATGGATTTGGACGAGTTCCGGGATTCAGCATTACAATAGCTCAATTGGAACGGCTATTTGTAACGGTTTCAAAACCATCTTCATATAGGGGTGTTGTAACGCTTATGGAACTGCTACCATTGTTCTATTTATGGGGACAGTTTTCTTTTCTGTTGGGACAGTTATAAACCGTTGTGGTATAATTATACCAATAATTTTTTAAGTCTATTGCAACGGTTTTCATAATATATAACAATGGTTTTTGTGATATATTGGAACAATTATCCGTACCCTATTGCAATGGATTTTGTAACATATTGCAACGTTATTAGGGGCTGATGTTATTATTTGCTAGGTCTTTTGGGATGGTTATATTCTCTATTGCAACAATTCACACTTGTAATTTCTGATATTTATGGAAGCAAAATGAGGAATATTTTCCTATGCAATGAAATATTTTATACCAAAACTTATATAAACCACGAAATAAAATTAAAATATCCAAATAGCATTATCCATATACAAAAATAAAATATGAATACATTGTTTGATCAACAATTCAAAAGTCAAAATAGATGAGTTTGCATACAAAATATTCTAAACTAAAATATCCGTGAACATGATAATAGAAAGCCTAACAACGATCAACAACACTCAAGTAAGGTCTTCGTCACTGCTTTCATCCGCAATCGATGCACCTACAAAATCAAAAATAATTAAAGAATTTTTTTTAAGATAATTGAATCATAAAGTAATTGAATGACCAATTTGATAACTTGAAATTTTTTTGTCTAAATTCTTAAATTTTTCGGCAGAGTTTCCTTTGTAAATACGACTATCCCAAAATTTTCAACCTGCTCAAAACATCATTCGTAAATACGACTATTCCAAAACTTTCAACCTGCTCAAAACATGATACAATTTCTATACAGAACCTAAGATCCTTCCACAAATCAGAAGTATATGCTAAAATGCTTATTATGGACCTAAAATGCTTCCACAAATCTCGTTTCATTGGCAAAAAGAATTCTATGTTGTCATAATGCCCTTTCATCCATTAATTGAGTTTGATATAAGCTGCAATCACCCAAAACAAGTAAACTTAAAACAAATAAAAGGATAGTGATAGGTTTAGGCCTTTGCCCTTCTACTCCCAATGGAATCTTTGAACAATAATAAACCAATAAGCATCCAAGAAAGCAAATATAGTTATTTACTTTCTTTATATTCATCTCTCATCTTATTAAAGGAATCTCTTTACAATTGAAAAATACATATGTGACTGCCCTTGCATGTGTAAATAGAGCTATCAAGGTCTCTCAACTTTCGCTTTCCCTCTCTTACTCATTTTTTCTTAGGAAAAGAACAATACCACTTTATTTCATTATCCTGAAAAAGACACCTTAAATAAAAGGTAGAGTTGTATCATTCGAGAAAAACTTTAATTCTTTAAAAGCCACATATTCTCAAAATTATATGAATTTCATTGTTGTGAAATTTAACGATCACCAAAACCATCACATAAACAGCTACATAAGGAAAAACTTATCGATAGAAAATATTTTAACAAAAATATTCTTAAGGTTCAGGACAAATATAGCATTAATATATCGGGTGCAGTGTCGTACTTACGGAACTAACATAACAACCAAATATTTACTTCGTTAAAGAAGGAATTTTCTCTGTACAATTTTCTTTGTGCTATGATAGAAGTTTTTGAAAAATAAGTACCTATACTAGTTTCCTATAGATTTCTGAAGGTGGTCAACTTCGATTCAAGGTGAGAACTGAATCAAAGGCATATCGTGAAATTATAAGAAGGGTCCAACCATCAACCATCAACATTGAGCTGCTTATCTCTTGATTATTGATATGACCAAATTCTCAATCTTAGGGAACACACTATAGTGTTGAGAGATGTTATTTTGCCTTCAGCAAAATAATTCAGAAGCAGAACCAAAAGCAACAAACTTGAAGAAGACAATACTCTTGAAATTTATCATCTAAAGCCTACACACAAAGGAAAGAAAATAAATTTCTCTGCTATAGCTTACCTCAACGGACCTAGAAGCACGCTCGATTAAGGTGTGGCCAGACGAGAAAACTCGCCGGAGATTGGGTTTGACAGAGGGATTGGGGTTGGAAACTATTAGGGATTGAGTGTTGGCTTTCGATATTCTCTAAGTGAGTATTCAGTAATAAGTGATCACTTACATTTTCACATATTCTGAATAAAGACCAATTATTAGGAATAAAAAATTAAAAATATTAATTAAAAAAGATTGGACTGAAAGATGTAGTGCGGGTTTAGAAAATTAAAGAAGGAAAAATTGGGGGGAAACCACAACCGTTCCCACAGTGTTTTATCCTAAGAAATGGTCACAATAGACAAATCTATTGAGACGGTTTAATATATCGTCCCTATAGAGTAATCTATGGTGACGGTTATATGACTTTGGCCACGGTTTACTTTTATAATGGTACCAATATGTTCGCCATGCTATGGTGACGGTTATAACCGTGGCTGTATCCAATTTATTGTAACGGTTCCATAACCATTGATAAAAAACCGTTGCAATAGGACAAATTTCTAGTAGTGGGAGTCTTCTTCATCAACGGGCCTCCAGCTGTATTGCTCAATGTTCTGCGAGCGACAGGTGTCAATCCATGCCAAAAGTTCTAAAGTTACATCCAGAGTTCAATTTCGCTATGTCGACACTTTCGCACTATCTCCTTAAACCTCTCCCAAGCTTCAAACACAGTTTCAGTCTTGTTCTGGCAGAAGTTATGGATTTCTCTTCTAAACTTGCCCGTCTTAGCTGATGAGAAATATTTTTCAAGAAATTTTCTGGTCATCTCATCTCATGTTCTAATCGATCCATTAGGCAAGTTGCGAAGCCAGTGCTTTGCATCGTCTTTGAGAGTGAAAGGGAATGCCCTTAAGTAAACTGCATCTTGTGACACACCGTTGTATTGAAAGGTGTTCATAATCTCTTCAAAATCAATTAGATCACTGTTTGGGTCTTCGTTCATCTTTCCTCTGAAGACAGAGCTGTTTTGAAGAGTTTGAAGCAACCCGTGCTTTAACTCAAAATTGTTAGCTGTAACTGGAGGTGATCTCACACTTGATAAGCCTTGGTTATATACCGATCTATCATAATCGCCAAGTGGTCTCCCAGCACCGGTAGCTATATTTCCGAATTGGTTTGCACTCAAAGGTTGATTCTGAACATTTCTCTGAGCCCTTTCCTCCTCATAGACAAGTTGTGCATTTTGAAGAGTTGTCTCCTCAGCATCTCGTGCAGCTTTTTCTCTTTGATGAGCTGCCTCTCTTACAGCCAAATCAACATTATCCTCATCTCTCGCCACAACTTCCTTGGTTGAGTATTGCCCAACCTTCTCTGTATTCTCGGGGAGATTTCTTTCCTTCCTCAACTGTCGCAGTTATTTCTCTATTTCTGGTTCGAATGGGGGCACTTTCTTCCTAAAGGATTGAGTCATGCACTTATCTAACCTATAGCCTGTGCACAATCAAGGAAAACTAAGCGTAAAAAGAGAAAAATAAATAGAAAGAAAAATTCCTGAATTAGCACTATAAACTATTTCAAACACTATTAATTGCAAATCCCCGGCAACGGCGCCAAAATTGACGAGCTTAAAACACACACTTAAATATGTTCGCTGGTCAAATATAGTATAGAAAAATATCGTATCCACGGGGATTTGATTTAAACAGTATTTTCGTAGCTTCTAGTTTAATTGTTATCCAAGATGATCGGCAATTTAGATTTGTTTGATTAAAACTAAAAGTCTAAACTATTGGCTAATGACAATCGTAACAAGAGTAAGCAAAGGAGATGTCAATGGGAGAAAATAATTGGATAGGTGCAAGATACTTGTCTGGGATTTAACTCTAGTTGATTCACTTAATAGGGTTCAAGTGAGTCTCTCGAATTCACTCAATTATTAGTTCAAACGTTCAGTGGAAACTCCTCTCTCGATTAAGTCTCAACCTCACAAGATGAACTAAGTTAAGCTCGGTGAAGATATGCAAGAATTCATAGTAGATTGGTCTTTAGGAGAACCTCTTTCGATTATCCTTCTAATTAGGTCTAAATAATAATTTAACTAGCCTCTTTTGATTACTATGAAGAATCAATGAATTCTACCAATAAGATGATGCAAAAATAACACAAGTTATGCCTCTTTCGATTACATGAACATGTGAAAATAGATGCATCAATTAAAATACCCAAAATGATCCAATACATAAAAATAGCTAGAGTTAATATCCACAATCAATTCTCAATACAACAAATCCATTAATCCCTAAAGAGAACTACTCTATAGATATGGAGTAATTCTATCACAAATAAATTTAAGTTAAAAGAAAGCATAAACGATCCAAACTTTTGTCTTGAGTGAGGATTGAATGATGAAATCCTTGTGCCCTTGCTTCTCCCACTTCTCCTTAGCCTCCTTAGGTCTTAGATGTGTCAAAATAAGTCCAGAAAATAACGTTTTTCCATGTATATATACCAAGTAGGGTCGGGCCCAAACGAACACACTTTCTCATACGCAAAATAGGACTCTTCCCGGAATAGGACGTGCGCGGCCGCGCACCTGGGAGAGTGCTCGCGCATATGGTCACGCACTTTGGAAGGTGTTCTGCCTTACTTGCGCGCCCAGTGCGCGCTCGTGCACCTGGGTGGCATCCTACTCGATTCTTTGTTTCTCTCATTGAATGCACAATTGTCCGTTGATACCCGAACTCGATCCCAACTTAATTCTTGAGCTTTTACTTATATTTCAAAGCTTCAAAATAGCTTGAATTCATTCCATAACATCTACATAACTCGTGATCACTCCTACAAGGCATAAAATACATAATTAGTACAAAACACTAGCGATTAACGCTCAAACTCAATTAAAGTGTAGTAAATTAGAGTGTGATAAGCGACTGAAACACGCAATTATAGCCTACCATCATGTACTCAATAAGTAACAAATCTAACCTTAGGTTGAAAGTAATGACGAGCTAGAACAAAGGTCGGAGTCCAATACCAATGGCCAACAACAGTTCATAACACTGTGACAAAAGTGATAAAAGAAGTAACTTAGTGATAAAATGCACAGCTCGTTCACAGTTCCGAAAAATAAGCATGCCTTTCAAGTATATCAGTGAAAACCCAAATCTTTTACCGAAATCACCAAAAATATGAGTAAGTTTGTAAAACTGTGATTTTTCCAAAGCTTTCAACAGGTAAATGTTTCATTTTCAAATGGCATGAGGAAAATAAATATTTATGCCTACATGTCAATGTGTATGTGAAGTCATGAATGATGCAATACCGTACAGCATGAGGAAAATGCATCTTTGTGCATGTATGTCAAGTGCGCATGTCGAATGCAATGCAGCTCAGTGATAAAATGATATGCATACTCTCAGAGTATCAATTCACTCAGTCCTCTCAGTTACCCAGTCCTCCCAATCACTCGGCACTCGCACTCAGTAGGTACTTGCGCTCACTATGGGTGTCCGAACTCCGAAGGGGCAGATGCAACCCAAGCGCAATAATAAGCCAATCATGGCATGAAATCAATAATACTTGCTGCGGTATGCAGCCCGATCCCTTCATGAATTAATAATACTTATTGCGGCGTGCAGCCCGATCCCATCAATATCCTCACAATCAGGCCCTCGGCCTCACTCAGTCATCATTCTCTCCAGTCTCTCGGGCTCGCAATGTCATGAAAATAAGGCCAAAATGATGATATGATGTATAAATAAATGGTAACAGACTGAGATATGATATGAAAATGAATGCGTATGACTGAGTATGAAATTGCAATGTACGCAAATAGCTCAACAGCAGAAATGACCTCTGTAGGTCTCAACAGGTTAAGCATATAGCCTTGACATAGTTTCTAACATAGATCACAGCTCAATTACTCTAGCACGTAGAGTTTCATTGATACAAATAAGATTAGGTAACTACATAGTACCACAAAAATAACCGAGTCACAATTCACACAGTGCACGCCCACACGCCCGTCACCTAGCATGTGTGTCACCTCAACACCAAACACATATAATGTATATTCAGGGGGTTCATACCCTCAGCACCAAGTTTAGAAGTGTTACTTACCTCGAACAAGCTAAATCCAATACCGAGCAAGCCAACGATACTCTAAAAATGCCACCTCGCTTGTACCGACCTCCTAACGGCTCGAAACTAGCCAAAAGCAACTCAAATACATCAAATAATGTCAAAGGAAACCAACCCAATCGTTAAAGGTCGAATCTTTAATCGAAAGCCCAAAATTAACCAAAACGTCAAACCTGGGCCCGCACCTCGGAACCTGACAAAACTTACAAAATCTGACAACACATTCAATCATGAGTCCAACCATACTAGTTTCGCTCAAATCCGACTCCGAATCGATGTTCAAAACTCAAACATTCTCTCTATGAAACTTTAGACAAAATCCCACAATTTCTCTTTTGAAATCATCAACCAAATGCCAAAAACGAGTATAGATTCGTGAAATATAATGAAAACCGAGTTAAGAATGCTTACCCCAATTCGTGCGGTGAAATTCCTCTCCAAAGTCGCCGAAAACTGAACTCCAAGCCTAAAAAATGAGAAATAAACGACCAACCCTCGAAAATATAGTTTTTCCCAAGCTTCATCGCATATGCGATCATATTTTCGCATCTGCGAGCCCCGCTTCTGCTGTACAAATTTTGCTTATGCGAAGAATCTCTAAACCTAGCAGCCATCACTTCTACGATCTACTTCCCGCTTCTGAGGTCGCGCTTCTGCGCATCTCGAACCGCATATGGGGTCGCGCAGATGCACCCATGGACTCGTACCTGCGACCTTCATGCCCAGCTGCCCTTTTCGCTCCTGCAAAGATAACCCCGCATCTGCGAAGTGGCTTCTGCGACCAATATTCTGCAGATGCGGCTACACCAGAACCAGTAGTCTCAGCCAATTGCAACATGCGATAAAATAATCTGAACCTCGTCTGAAACTCATCTGAGCCCCTCGGAACCCCGTCCAAATATACCAACAAGTCCCATAACATAACACGGACCTACTCGAGGCCTCAAATCATGCATAACAATATCGAAACGATGAATTGCTCCTCAAATCGAACTCAATGAACTTTTAAACTTTTAATTTCCAAAACTCGCGCAGAAACATATTAAATCAATCTGGAATGAACTCATATTTTGTGTACAAGTTCCAAATGACATAACGAATCTATTCTAATTCCCCGAAC